TGTTCAATGGTTTTTTTTTTAAATATAAAATTAATTCTTTTAACAATCGAGGGATTTATTGAAGGTATAGGTAAGCTGAGTTCAATGACACCTTTTTCACAGGAAAAGTACGCTTATTTTTAAATTGCTCTTCGATAAGTTCACCTGAAACCCGCATAGTTCTTTGTGTTTCTTTTTATTTTCAGTGGTTCATAGAGTGCTGATATGGACATTGTCAGTAATTTGGCATAGAAAAAATCCAGAATTTTATAGGCAGTCAAAAAATCAACGGGTTTATACCAAGTTTAATGCCCTCGAAGAACTACAAATTCAATGCTTGTTGACATTTAAGCTAAACTGAGAAATAGGACAAAATAAATGGCTTTTTAAAACGTACTTGCTTTTTGAATGAGAAATAGTCGTAGGTTTTTATGATGTTTATCAGAAGTTAAGTCACGTTTGAATTTTTAAATGTAAATTTTTTCGTCTCATCATTCTCCGTACTTTTTTGGATTTTTTTTTATATTCCAAATATTCTGAGAAAACTTTTAGTTAAGAAAATGAATATTAAAATGATAAACACTCATTTCAATTTGTTTGAACTCAAGTTGAAAAACGATTTTAATAATTCTACAAAACACATCAAACGTTAACTAATTATTTATTTTGCTGTTCGTACGATTTTATGATTTCAAATTGAATGTCAGCTTACTGCAACAACCTATTTTTTGTCTTTTCAACATTTCAAACAGAAGTTTTAAACACTTCATACGTCTAAGATTTATTGATTTAAATACATTGATGATTGTAGGGTCAACTAAAAAAAATTCTCAGAAAGAATATTCAATTTCATGCAGACGTGGCCAGAGTTAGAAAGGAAAACGGGAAATGGCTACAATCGATAAAATTGTACAGTTCATGAAATAACTGAATCATTTTTAAATTAAAAAATAAACTGTAATTGCAGCTGTCTCGCAAAGATGCGACCACATTTAATGGTGTTGAAATATGGCTTGCATTGTTCGAAGATGGTTCATTACAAAATGCATGCATACCTACATGAAATATATTGAAATTTGGTTTTTATGGTAACTGGAACTGTATGTGCTGTCTGTTAGCGAAGTAAAGAAAATCATGAACCAAATTGCTTTTTTTGCTGTGATTCTTGATGCATTGCTAACCTGCGTCATAGATGCAGATGCTATCAGTTGGATTAAAACGAAAGTAAATGATGAGTATATTTCATTTAAATCGATATAAAGATAAAGGGGTTTTTCTCAGCCCTCAGTTCTTACGCAGCTTTCCTTTCTTAATTTGTAACGCTATTTGTTTGCTTATGCACATAATTATGACGATTAAAGCCACATTTTATGTCGAGTGGAAACGGAAAAAACAACAACAAAAAACGTTGTATAATTGCGTTTCGTTGGATCGTGATCACCAACCGTGTCAAACATTCATTTAAATTCATTATTCGCATTCGATATGACAATGTGGAAAACAGAAAAAAAAAATCATACCGTTCAACTCACGCAACTGGTCAACTGCATCAAACTAAAGTTGTGTACACGGTGTAAATTCGCGCTGTCAATAGACATTTCGATCGTTTCATAAAAATAGGGAAAACCAATGGAATATCAAAGGACAAATGTACCATCATAATTGAAATTGAAAAAGAGTGTGCTTATTATCAATAAAACATGATTTTGATTACTATTGATGGCAAGAAAAGCTAACGAAAGGGGAACGAAGCAAAATTATTACGGAACGATATGGTACGACGATTTTTATTGCAAAAATACGTTAATATTCTTTCATCAACCACAATAATAAAAAAAACATCGCTTATAGTTTCTTTTCTACCAGTTTTTTTTTCTTCTTCAAAACCATTCTTTTGATATGCTCGTTGCACTCAGGAGAAAACGCGTGCACAAACCGAACCGAATATATCGCTGTTGATTCGCTTGATTCTGATCTAAATGAAGCAAACCAAATCTAAATGGACACGGTTCATACTCGTTGCTTTCTAAACATCATATACAGACAGGTACAATTTGAATGAATGAAGAAAAGGCGGGCAAAAGGGAGGGGAGGAGAAAGAAAGAAAGAACTCATTCCCGCAACGATCACCGACTTCCAAAACAAAGAAATCATGTACTCTGCTACACTTTTTTATAGACGTGTGAAATTTATGATTACGTGGAAACGCAGGGAACTCAACTTATGTTTATAGTCGTTATTTTATTAATATCTCCAAGAGAAAAAAAAAAGCTTAATGCTCTGTATTCTTCAGGTCATTCACTCCCTTTTTGTTGTTGTTGCCGCTGCTATTTTTCCTGCAATGGAAAATTAACGATAAAACAAGAGAGTTCTTTGAAACATTTGTAGTTAAAGAGACATCAACGTCGTTTTGGGATTCCTGTATACTATGGAACTGCTGATATAATGACCGTTTGAACTCTTTCCACATAAACGATTCAAAAAAATCTTTCAATGTATGATGAGCGCATCCAATTCAAATAACTAATTTGTGAATAGATTCAACAACGTTTTACACTACATACACTGTGATAACTACTCAATACACAGTTTTGCAACGATCTTATAACGTTTGATGTAGCTGTTAAGTTTATTGGTAGATATAAAGTTTGCTAACGTGACGTTAATGATTCAAGCTAGAATTTAAGCTAGTTCTTGAATAATTTCAAAATGGAAAATCAATATAAACTGAATGACTCTTGGCAAAAAAAATCAATTTTTTCTCAAGTTTAAGCGTCAAATGTATGTTTTAGTAGTGTAAACGCTTTTTTTGACATTTGAAATCGATTGGAATTTGTTTAAAACTCTGATATACATGTTTCAAATAAAAACTCTTTAAATTTACAAGATTTCCGTAAAATCACCAGACCAGTCAAATTACCCAATATCAAGCTCAAGCATCATGATTGCATCATCATCAACTCTAGAATTCAAATTAATGCGGCACTAAATCAATAAAAGGAGAAAATGAGCTCATGAAATGAAGGTACATCAAATTACGATGGTCAGAAAAACGATACCACGGTTGCATTGTCTGGTGGCATAGCCCCAAATCCTTCAAATGCGAGCCGTATTTATCGGCTTGAACAATTCGCCAGTGTTTCGAGCAAATTCTATTTTTTTCGTAGCATTCTGATCGAATTGGTTATATCCTCGAAGTTTTTCATCAAGGCAAAAATTCGTTGGTTGACTTCAGTGATAACCTTCACCTAAATTCTCCATCGTTAGAAATTTCGAGTTAAAAGTGTCCACATATTCAATTTTCTTCGTAATTCTATCAAAAACTGAAATAAATACATAATTTTGTTCAATTGTCACAGAGCCAAATTTGCAACGTCTAAAAGTTGAACACGCAAGAGTGAAACAAAATAAATATCCATGTTGTTTTTTTACGTTTCAATCATTGATATTTTTTCCAAATTTAACTCATAGGTATTTTTTTCGAATGTTTCATTTTTCAAATTAAAAAATTTGACTAATGGTTTTTCTCACGCATTCATATATCAGCAAAGCATTTTTTTTTATAAATTAAACCGTCGTCACCTTTCTGATTATTATTATTGTTTGGAGACAGGAAACTTGCAATTTATTTAATATTCCTCTTTTACTCAACTAATATTTGAAGATAATCACGCATAGTTAGAGAAAATAATTTTAATACGATCCACTGCCCACTCCTTTCGAATACGATGATAATGGTTTCAGTAAAGCACTCGATATTGAGAAGCCACTCGAAATGAAGAGACAATATACAGCTCCATTAAAATCCAATTGTTTCCGAAATTAAAACGAGACAATGCGTTCCATTCAAGACTACCAGAAAAAATTGAATGGGAATTATACAACAAGAGAGAGAGAGAAATTAGAATGGTTTTGATCATGTCTCAGAAAGAGGTAAATTGAATCGTAAAAAATATCGGCGTTTCTGTTTTTTCAATTTGAAATGGACAATGGTAAGTGTTAAAAAAAATTTTATTGTCCGATTTGTGTTACTGAAAATTTGGTTTGCTTTATTCAAATGGCAGCAATTCGAATTTCTAAAAAAATCATCGAAGCAAAGCATGAAAATCGACAACATTCTTGTTCTCACCAACAAAAAGAATCCCATTTTAAATTGAAACGTACAAAGTACAAAGGTGAAAAAAAACTGCTTAATAGAAAAAAAAAACACAGACTGCTGTAATTGTACAGTCGATTAGTGTGGAATAAGAAACATTTAAGATTGAAATTGTACAATTTTACCAAAAAATGTATTATTCGAACGATCGTTACGACGAGGTGTTAGTACTAAAAAAAAAAACAATTTAAACGTCGATAGATAGTTTCTTAGAGGAAAAAATTGATGTTATGCGACATAAGTAGCATGTTCATGTTGGAGATTTTGATCAGAAAATTCGTTATGCTATTCGCATGATGTGCATTCGACTTGATATAATTGTCGTGGAATCTATTCAAGAGATGTTTTTTTTTATTCCAATCTTGGCGCTGGAGAGAGAAGATGTTTTCTTGATTTCGATGTTCAGCGTATTCTGTAAATGCGTACGCTGTGTAATTAATAATTATTCATCAAACGCAAACTCTATTGTATGCTCACTGCTCAGTCAGTCCATATTATATAATTATGGTTCATTTTTTCCGTCTATTCTTCTCTCGGTGTATTTATTTTGTTTTATTCTGATCGTGCACTGAAAATTATAACTTTATACAGTAATTAAAAAATGGCTTTTCTTACATATTTACACACGGCTCATGACTTCCAACAACATAAAAAACTCGAGAATGCTAAGTACTACCGTAGTGGTCTATACGCACTTGTTCACTTGTTCGTTCACGCTTCAGTGTGCAACCATTTTATACATGCGAAAAAAACGTTGAATATTTTTTTGAATAGTTCAACTTCTCGTCTATATGTGAGAATCCAAGACGACAAACTGCCTGATATAAAAGACCATTTACATTAAATAATACATGAACACACGGAATTGAATTTGCGAATTAATTTCTAGTTTTTATTCCAAGTTTTTTTTTCTTTTTTTTATATCTTTCGAATTTATTCTAAATACGAGAAACGAAAAGGTTCATTCTCTTTTTAAAGGATTATAGAAATTTTTATCACAAAAAATTTCATTGCAATGCTGACATTTATTTATGTTTTGTGATTGAAGTTGACTGTGCCTGCTTGCTTCCGCTGAGAACAATGAATGGACTGTGTGTTTCCTTCTGTTTATGCTGCAGCATGGTCAATGTACCTAACGGTGTATCTGTCGAACTCATTTTCATCATGAGCTGTGCGAAAAAAAAATAGAAAGAATACACAACGAAAAGTTTAATAAAATTGATTCAAAAACAATTGTTTTTCTCATGGATACAATTCCATACTGCACTTACTCCGTCTTGTTCGACTTTCTTAAGACGTTTTTCAATCTTATTCTTACCAGGCCCCTTGCCATGGAATTTATGCGATAGATAACGGAAGGCTTCTTTCTCATTCAGCAACCGTCCACTATCATCGATGTACTCTAATTTCACATTTGGTTTGTAGTTATCTTTTTCTTTGAAATCGCTCATTGGGCCACTGTGGAAGCGATCACGACGATTGAATTTATCATCCTCACTAAAACATTAAAATATATTATTAGGTGACGTTAACAACATGAATATTATAAATATATGAAAATGATATATGCTTACCCATGCGTTTTATCTTCAATTGAGTAGTTTTTCGCTTGCAAATGTGCCATTCGTGTATTACTCGGTCGATTTGACTCTTCTTTCTCAAGATAACCCTTTGATAGGGCTAACTTTAATGCAGCACCCATTCCAACCGAAACGTCTGGTTCCTCATCAAGAATGGCCACTTCGGCCACTTCAAGATTTTCCTCACACGGCGGAAGCTCCAAATCTGGATTGACTGAATTCCAAGTGCCGGTGATTTGTTCTTCTTCTTCCATGGGTTCTGCTGCATCTTCATGTTCACTTTCAATGTCCATTATTTCATTTGCATCAACTCCTCGATTACCCGACATACCGTACGTTGGAATATCACCAAGTGTTCGACAAAATTCAGCCGTTTGATTTAATGTGATAAAATCAGTTTGGCCACTTATATTTGTTTCATCGTCTGAATCTGGTTCGGTTTTCACTTCAGCCTTGATTTTGCTCGGGTCCAAACTTAATGTTTTCAATGATTCTGCTTGTTTTAAGCGTCTCGCCTGGAATTTAAAAAAAAAACCCATAATTGTTAGACATCAAATTGCAATTTTCTTTGAATGTATCCTTCAACTCACCTTTGATAAAATGTGTTCAAGTTCATTGTCCTCTTCTTCAATTTTAATATCATCTTTGATATCGGGTACATCGTCTGTATCAAGCACATCAGATAAATGACGGTTGGGATCTCGTTTGCGATGATTTGATGAGTCAACATCAGTCGGCAATGGTTCAAGATCGTCAGCCTTCAATTTTTTGCGTAATTTTTTTATCTTCTTTTTCGGCTTTTTGAATCTAAAATTTTAAATTAAAAAAGTTCCAAACATGAAATTGAAGTCATTTTAATGACTTAATGACACATATAAAATATTGCCAATTTATGAATGTTTACACAATTATTTCCGCTGCGATTAACATTTTGACTTTATCAAAACCATTTTAACCATCAACAGTTTGATGTGACAGACGTTTTTATAATGAAACAATGCAATAGATAACATAAATTACTACATTTTGATACGGTATTGTGCTCATCAATAGCGGGCTTTGCTGGTTAAAACATCAATTACTCGAAATGTCGTTTTGTTGACAAATTAGAGGACAATTACAGCAGAGGTATATACAAGTGATGTCAACGTTTGTGTATAAAATAGAGAAAAATCATGATACACGACATAGTTTGTGATTGAACATTTAGCAAAGATGTCACCAAAAATGGTTATCTGTCTTTTAATTTTGGTAATTCTGAATGTTGGCATTTCAGTTGAGGATTTCGAACCAATTTTCTAATCAAATCTAATTCCTTTTGTTTAGTTTTTGGCTTTTGTGCATATAGAGTCGGCCGAGATACCCAAAGGATCAATTGATTCAACAGAAACGTTATTGAAACGAAAGAATTTGAGCGATAAAATTGATGACATGACAACAGAAGAAACGGCTGATGGTGGAATGATGAAAATCCTTTCTGATGTTATGAAAAATGCAGAAGCACTACCGGCAGTTTGAAAATGTACTTACGTGGCTAGTTCGGATTCGGTGAACGTATCGGAAGCTGGAGCAATCAATTGTTCGTTAAGCGTTTCCAATCGTTTACCAGCTAGTTTAGATTTAATCTGAAATTATAATGAAAATTGCATAAATTGATTGAAATTAAAGGGAATTTGATTTAAAAAAAAAAAACAAAATTCTACCTCTTGTAATTTACGTTTTTGTGCAATTTCTTCCTCAACATCGTGTCCAATGGTGAAGGATTTCTTTTTCTTTTTACCAATTTCTTCATCATATTTGCTGAGAACGTCACGCTGAATTGGATTACCAAATTCGTCCACCTCTTCGTCATACACATTGTATCCATATTGATTTGGATTAAGTTTTTTATTGTCGATGTTCTTACGATAACGTTCATCATCGAGCATGTTTACATTTTCGAGTGTGTCACCCTCTTCTTCGTTTAAAACATCATGATCTTTAAGCGTTAAAATGATCGATTTGCCTTCAGTGAATGCATCTAAATCATGATTCACTTTCAGCCCCTTCAAATTATTCTCTGAATAGATTTTCTTCTTTTCTCGCCGTGTCTCTTCTTGAATTAATTCACCGACGCCAAATTCATCGTCCATTTCTTCTAGAATTTTGGCCCGTCGTTGAGCTTCTGCTTTTAGCTTCTCCTTTTCTCGGCTCGAATCAACCCATTTGGAAATATCATCATCTTCATCTGATTCACCAAGCGTTTTAATCGATTTCATTTTCGTTTCCAACGCTCGTTTCTGCTTGTTCTGACGGAACTTTTCACGTAATTTTTCCGCTTGTAACTTTTCCGAAATATTATTCGCTGGCTTATGGTAAAACTCACCCCATTCATCTTTGTGCATTGGATCACCGGCTTCATTGGTCTTTTTCTTTGACGATGACGACGATGATGCGCCTTCTTTTGAATCAATTTGCAATGGTTTCAAACCCAATTTTGCACGCAATTTATTTGTCTCTTCAATTGAAAGCGAATCACCGGCACCATTCTCGGGAATTGGTGATGATGATTTAGCTGGTTTTGAAATGACTGGAGCGGGTGGCGGTAATGGCACTTCAACACAATCGGAACCTGAAGAAAAATTTGAATTAGCCACGAATTTTATACATTTCGCTTTTCATCAACTTACTGTCACTATGATGATCTGGTTCATGTTTTGAACGTCTGGATCGAAGAGGACTTCTTTCACGACTTCTTTCGCGATGATGATGTTTTCGCTTAGATTCCTTGTGTCTGTGACGGTGTCGGTCTTCCTTTTCTTCTCTCTCTCGACCTGGTCGTCGTTCATCTTTTTCATCTCTGTCTCGACTCCGTCGTCGTTCATCTTTTTCGTCTCTGTCACGACTCCGTCGTCTTTCTTCTTTTTCGTCTCTCTCTCGAGTATTTTTTGAAGAAATACTCGGTGGCGGAGGTGCAATTGGCGACCTTGATCGTGAATGACTGCCCGATGATGAACGAGAATGTGACCGTCTGTGGCGACGAGATGCATCACGTTCACGCCGTCGTTTACGCGAACCCATTTTTCAAAGTAATATCTATTTAAATTAATTTAAACACAAATTCAAAATAATAGTAGTACACCAAAACACCAAATGCAATTATTGGTTTGCTTAGTGTTAATGCTATGCAAACTGAACTGAACATAACCTCACTTGCAGTAAATGTCATAAACAATATACGTTTGAAAAAGTTGGTGTGATGGATGCGTTTTACTTTGTTTTGACATTGATCTGCGTTTACAATACGTTGGTTCGGTCTTCATTCAGACTGGAATTGAATACATCCATTGCTATCTTTTATGTTTTGACAGAACATGACAAAATCAAAACATTGATGCTAATTTAATGTAAAATAACACACACCAAAATTGTTTTTCGTGTATAACATTTAATTTTTCCATTTAGTAGCCGTATTGAAAAATTGGAAAATGGAAAAAGAAATTGAAAAAGTGCTCGATGACACGTAAGCATCCACGACAGCAAAGAAATCCAATAAAACAATAATAATTTAATCATTTATGAAAAATCTACAATTTTAGAATCGCCAATGAAAATATCGTTGCTTGTTTGAGTGCGAATCGTCACGGCCTTTGTATTGGAGGTATGTTTTTTTTTTTTTTCAAATTGATCGCTTTCATAATGCATCGATAACATTCATAGTAATATTTTGTATTTTTTAGCTCGTGGAAATATTTCATCGCAATCATCTGGTTTATTAGTCGCATTACTTGATCAAGCTCAAAAGTTAGAACCACAGTCAGGACCACCCGTTGTCGTATTGGAAACATCGAAAAAGTATGCCATTCGAATTGCCTGAACACGCATAATGAAAATAATTTGAATTTTTTTTCCTCATTTCAGTACCTGTTTGATTCATAAACACGGAGTGACTGGAGTCATTGTAAAAAAATTGGATCAACCTAACTGATCTAGTCGCCAAAAATTAATTCAAAATCGTACGCTGAGTTGCCTATATACCATATGTTTAATTAGGAAATTTAAAACAAAATAAATACCATTTTATATCAATTCCATGGGAATAAACAACATACATTTACTTTTTATTTAAAAGTGGTATTTACGTAGTATATGTGTTTTTTGTTGACTTGTGTGCGTGTTGTCAAATAATATTCGGCACAATGTCGATTCACATTTGCGATGGCAACACTATTCTACTGTTTTGAATAATACGAAATCAGCTGTTGATTATTTTCAAACTTGTGTTCTTAAATTACTTTCGTTTTTCGTTATGTTCAGTCAATTTATTCATATTTTCTTGAAAAATATCTTCCAAAATCAAAATGCAAAACAAAATGTTCCACTTTATGTCCCGCCCACTTGTTCATTGTACAGTGAATAAAGGGAATGCGATTGCAAAGTGAAATGACAGCAACATCACAGTTGACATACATGCACTAAACACACTGTTGCGTACAGCATTCCCTTAGTAGCATCATATCCGAATAGTTGGATCGGAGCAAGTGTTTTTTGTTTCATTTTAAGTCAATTTTTTGTGCCATTTTTTATATTTTATACTTGTGCTCCGTTTGTATTACGTAAAAGTCACATAAATAAGACCATTTTTGTATTCATTAAAGAATTCGTGTGAAAGATAAAGGCATAAATTAATTGTAAGTATTTTCAGTATAATTCATAAATTAGAATTTATTTGAATCAGATTTGTGATTGTTTGTTGAAAAAAAAAATGCCGGTAGATTACTGTTACTTAGAAAAAAAGATTTCTATACAATGTATATTTGGAAAAATTTGGTATTTTGATTTCTTTAAAAACTGTTAATTCATCAGTAGAATTTGATGCAAAAAAATTAAACGGAAAGGAATTTCTTCTATTTAAACAACGAAGTGTGAATTTACAAAAGATAGACAATGGAAGAAAAAATGAATGCACAAATCCGTATCATAATATATGCACTTTGTACAGCATCATCAATTGTCATCTCACCTTGTCATCTTGGTAGGGTCTACCTTTTTTTTTCTTAATGAATGTTTGGAAGACGTCTATCATAAAACAAAACCATTAGCCCGTCTATTGGCCGACTTTAAAGAGATCCATGTTTTATGATTTTAAATAAAATTGTCTTTCGTTTGTTTTTGCATATGTCCTCCAAATGAATTGAAATTATGATTATTAGTTTTAAAAATGCAGATGCACCTTTTTAGCTTTAGTAGTTTTTTCATTGTTTAAACTGAGAAAAGGTCCATTGTCATTTGTAATTACATTTTTCTTCAAGACAAACATTGTTTTTCTTTTGAATCTAAAAACCAATGTTTTCACACATTTTAACAATAATTTGTTTGCAAATTGTATAGATTGCACCAGACAAGATAACATAAAGAATTACAATGAATCCAAACCAAAAGCCGCCAGGTACGTTAGCGAAAATAACAAATTTTTTCCGAGGCAATACAAAATTTTCGCATGCCATGTGGAAGCAAAGCGGTGAAAAAGACGATTGGGCCAGAAAAGCAGTTGATGCATTAGTTAAAAAGTTAAAACAACAACCAAACGGTATAAAAAAGATAGAAACCGCATTGCAAACGCGAAGCTCCGCTTCGGAATGTGTTACCATCCCCAGATCAATGGATGGCCGTTTGCAGGTAAATTCAAACTCAAAAGCATAATTTAAAAAAATATATGATCTTCTATTGATGGTTCCAATTTATAGATTTTAAATTGTAAAGCATTGCCGCATGTAATATATGCTCGAATTTGGCGTTGGCCCGATTTACAAAATCATAATGAATTGAAGGAGGTGAAGAATTGTCAATATCCATTTTCCAAAGCCAAACGATCCGAAAATGTTTGCATAAATCCATATCACTATGAACGCGTTGAAAATGCTGGCATGCTACCGCCAATTTTAGTGCCTCGTGTCTCCCAATTTTGTCCAGGCCATTCGAAATTGCCGACGCAACAAGTACCGCCAATGGCACAAATGCAACAAACTATTGCCGAAGCACCACCAGAACCGATGCCGATTAATGTCACTTTTGAAAACAATCAATTTACTATGGCAAGAAATGGATATGGTTCACAATGCTCATCAGGCCAAAATAGTCCACTATCAGCCATATCAAAAAATCAACCAAATGGTTATCAGCAACAGCAACAGCAACAGCAACAACAACAACAACAACAACAACAACAACAACAACAACAACAACAACAACAACAGCAACCGTATTCGGCATTTTCATCACCACCTCATCAAAATGATAACTATAATTATGATCAAAATCAAGCTGCAATGGTTCAGGTACCTTACGAAGAAGCAGATCACTGGGCAACAGGTAGATTTTGATTTTTTCTTTTCGTTGTTTTTTTGGTATTATTTTTTGTTTCCGTTTTTCTAAATAGTGGCATACTATGAGCTGAATAATCGCGTCGGTGAACAGTTCAAGTGTAATAGTGGTAACACTTCTTTGATCGTTGATGGATACACACAACCATCATGTGCAACATCAAATCGATTTTGTTTGGGGCAACTGTCAAATGTCAGCCGAAACAGTACGGTTAGTGTTTAAAAAAAATGACTTTTTTTCGATTTTTCTTACATGAGACTACGTTTTTTTCTTAATCAGATCGAATCAACACGAAGACATATTGGAAAAGGTGTAAATCTATACCACATTAATAACGAACTATATCTACATTGTGCATCGGATAGTCCGGTGTTTGTGCAGGGTTCAATGACAAACTATTTACATAATTTTCAATCAAATGTGGTGGCAAAAATAATGCCCAAGCACGACTTTAAGATTTTTGATTATTCTGAATTTTCGAAATTGGTAAACGAAGTGGTTGGCAATGGATTTGAGCAGACATATGGACTAACCAAGATGTGTACGATTCGAATCAGTTTTGTCAAAGGATGGGGCGCTCAATACCATCGGCAAGACATAACGTCAACACCTTGCTGGATTGAAATACATTTAAATAGTCCGCTAAAATGGTTGGATAATGTGCTCGTCCAAATGGGATCACCGTTATACAATATTACCTCTGTATCTTAAAGGAATCAATTTTATGCCGAAATCGATGAACTGATGACCACCACCTTACATGCAACGACCGTACAAATAATGGAAATCATGTATTTCAACATCAATATATATACCATAATTTAGTATATATCGAGAAGCTAGGACCAATTTTTTTTTTTAAATTCCACTCATTTTTCAATAAAGAAAATAAAACACAAATAACTGACATTAGACAATTTCAATGCGAATCGGTTTAGTATTGCAACATTCGATCGAATAGACAAACAATGGCAATATGTCATTGGCTAAATACGAACGAATGAAACAGAAAAAAGAAACGAACAATACTTGACAAATACCAGCACACACAGCGACAACACTTGTACGTTTACTCGGTGTAGTACAAGTGCAAGCGAAGCGGATCCATGAATGTTTTGGTATGCATTTTTATCACTCGTACATGAGATCGTATGTATGTTGTGATGACAACAACGATAGTTGTATGGGTGGAAGAGTAAGAAAAAAAAGAGAGCGATTAAACGAAACCGAGTGATGAAAAAAATGGTTTCAGACGATGTGAATAGTAAAAGCTAAGACACGGAACCGTCAACTTTGTGTATTTGTACTTTGCGTGTGCCTTAAGTCACTTGATTTTTTTTGCTCTCACATATTTTCGCTCTTTTGTGAAATTTTCTGTCAATCAGTGTGTAACATTTGTGTGAAAAACTTATCGACGGAGTTTTTTTTTTCATTTGGAATACATTTCTCAACGCCTGCGACGTAAACAAAACGGATTTTGTGTGGATTACATTTGTCGGAGATCAAGTGAATATAATTGATTTTTTTAGAGTAAGTAAATTCGATTGGTTTATTTGTTGAATGTTATTGATCTGTGTATTCGTGTACGAGAGAATGTGTATGCTGTATGAATGAGTAAAGTAATATTTTTTTCAATACACTAGAAAAAAAGGAGTTTGATGAATAGTAGAGTATGCAGTGAAAAAAATGAAATTAAAACAATCAATATGATAACACATTCGTCAGAAAGTTGCAAAGGAAAATCGTGCGCTAAAATTGTTTTTTTTTTCTCTGTCGAATTTTTATTGCAAACGGGTTAAACAACACACAAGGCTATTTATTACATATTAAAGGCTGGGTATACACGAAAATCACTGAATCAGGCAACACATATATTCATATAGAATTTATAAAAAAAAATCGTCCTCTCTCTCGCTCTTCGCATAAACTGTGTGTATTCGAATCATGCGCACACACGATCTGACACCTACAACTCCAATCGAAGCTCCACCAAATCGCGACCATACTGTGTACACACATATGTGTTTGTGATCATCTTCTATATCGTCTATCATGTCTCTCTATCGCATGAACATTCAACCGTACCAAATGCCACTGACTTTAGATTTTGTTATAGTTGTTGCTTTTGGCCATTTCTCTCTTCACGAGAATTTTGTTCCTTTTCGTTGAACTCATCTCAATTTACTTCTCTCTCTCTCTCTCTCTCTCTCTCTCTCTCTCTTTCTCTCTCTCGTTCGAACGAAAAATGCTTACAGACCAATATGAATGTATCTCATCTACATCGGCGCTTCTCACACACGTTTATATGTATGTTCTCTCTTACGCACCACACATATGTGTAGTTTTCAGTCGAATAAAGAATTTGTATCAATACTTGCACACCAGAATCATAAGAAAGAGGAAGAAAATAATATTGTGAACGAGCAGCAAGTTGAGCAACTTGTGACGACACATATAACATACAGGGATATCGAAAAGTTCTATCAAACAACTATTTGAACATTAATCAATTTCTACTTTGATTAATGAATTTGATCTTCAATCACAGATCTCCAATGTTTTTTACACTTTTTTATATGCCATGAAATCAGCGTACAAAGAGAGTCTTTATGATCATTCTCAAAAATCGATCCTTGATTGATCTCTTTTCCAAATTCAATAAACAATATCTTATTTTCTAAATTCCAAATTTTTAAATGATCAAATTCGTTTTTTCATTCGATTTGATTCTCATGAACTTCGATAATTTCCTAAATATTTCCAAATTTCTATTTGAAAATCACATGGAAATTCACAGCTGCATTTTGATAAGTATCCATTCGTGCAGTGCATTGCGCTCATTGGCTTATTGAACTCCCTGTATAGATGGGGGACCTCATTAAAGATGTGAAGAAAAATCGCTGTTTGTCGCCCGTTGTCAGTCAGTATGATTGTTGCTGCGCTTCGCGTATGATGTCAAACAAGTAAATATTACATTAATGAAATTTCCATTAATTTATCGGCGACTTATTATGTGATAATAGTTTTTTTGCTCAGTAAATTTTCTTTTATAATAATTAACAACAACAACAACAAATAGCGATTTAATCAAAACAAACGCTCGACAAAAAAAAGGTAAACAACATTTTTTGCTGACAATCTTCTTGATCGAAGTCATCTAAAAGATAATTGTTGTTAAAAGTAATCAGTTGTTATCAGTGAAAAAGTCAGTGTTATCGTATTCGAATGACTCAATATTTGTTGAACGAATAACGAAATAAAACGCAAGCAACGTTTTTATTATCGATGCTAAATATTTCACGTGTTCGAGAGTTTTGTGTGAAAAATAACAAAAATTAAGAATCTATGTTAACTAATCCGTATATTTAAAGAGAGATTGAAAAAGCGACACCAAAAGCAAAAAGGAAGTCCATAAAATTGTGCGTGAAGCATATTTTTTTTGTTTCATTTTTCTTCGTTTCGGTACAATATTCGTTTTTTTCGGGTCGGTCAATTAAAAGTGAATAATGAAAACAAATGTAATGTTGAAAATATGTTTGAAAAGCAAAGATTTGTGTCGCCTCTCGTCTAGTGTGCAGCCAGGCCATAGCAACATATTACATAGCATATACACACCAGAGAAATAATTGACCGAACACAAAACATACATACGGATGAAGAAAAATAAAGATGAAAAGTTGATGAAAAAGATTTAAAAAAAAAAGAAAAAAGAGTAAAAACAAAGCTCATGCACAACGCACTCGAATCGAATGCAGGCGCTGTGCATTGAATTGTCTTGGTCTGCAGTGCAACACAAAAAGGAAGCAACAAAGACGCAACACAAGCACCGGCGACAAGTAGAAAACCCCAAGAGTGAGATAGACACTATAAAACACACACTTCACGAGAAAAAAAAATGAAAAAGAAAGAATACAAAAACGAAAAAACAAACCTAAACGACGGGAGCAAAAGAAAAAAGCAATAAAAACCGACCGAATGAATCGAGCAGATTAAACGAAAACGAAGAAAAAAAGAAGAAAAAGAAGAAGAAATAATGCAGCAGCAACAGTGCAACAACAAAATAGCATAAGAAGAAAAACGCACAGAACATAGATATTCCGTGCCGAGTGCACGGCCAAAGTGTAATTTTCTTCGAGTACTTAGAGTTGCATACAAAATGAATCTAATGAAAACCAGCTCACAAACCGACCGACCGACCGAACCAAAAACACAATATGTACTTTTATTGCACGTTGCTTTAACATATCGCTCTCGTTTGCGCTCATATGTACATTTGTGTGTAGGCTTCAAGATTCGATAGTGCCTTTGATTTTTATTTAATTTTTTTTTTTTTTTTCGTTCGTTCGTTGGTTTGGTGTGGTGTATTTGTAGATCGCGTAATATACCAACAAAACAATACGAATACATTTCATATTTTCGTTTTTATTTTGTGTTATTCATTCACTCGTTTGCATTCTGTGCTGCACTTCATATGTATACATATCCGAAGACAGAAATGAAATGAAACACGAAATGAAACGAACAAAAAAAAAAAAGAAGAAAAACCAGTGCAATTCAATGGTGTTGCTTGTTCGTCGTTCCTTGTTTGTTTATTTCATTTTATTTAGGCTCGGGTTATTTCTCTTTATTTCTCTCTTAAAATAAATATATATAGTATTTGTCTTCTATTTCCACTCCATAAGTTGCATGTTTAAAAGCCATACGAACAATGGCATAATGTCCATATTTCGATTTGTATTCGTGTCACGAATACTATTACGATATCAGGAAAAATGCCACATTTTTTTTTAAATTCATTTCCATTGAAAATATGCATCTATCGTCGTGGTTGCACGCATTCGGTCGTTTCCTTTCAGTTTTATCGATTGTTAAGATAGAGCAGTGCATATATTTGTCGGATCCTTTTTTAAATTGTTTAAAAGCCAACCGTATGGTTTTTTTCTTCTTCTATTTAACTTCTATATCCCGTCAAATTCAATGGAAGCGACAATATTTGTTTTGACTGCTGAAATGTTGGACGGTGAAAATAGTGGTGATCATAATTCTTCGTCTGAAAATTAAAAATTAACACTGACTAATCACACAATTCTAACAACTCATTCTATAGATCCGCTTCGAATTTGATTTTTTTTTATCAACAAAACATCCAAATGTAATAAAGTTAATCTTCTATTTAGTATGTTTTAAAAATGGTTTTTTTCGGAATCGATTTTGTATTGCTTCACTGAAACACACATGACTCAATGGGGCTTTTATTTCGAATTCCGACGAAAAAATAAAATAAAAGAAACAACAAAATCTGATGAGAAGACACACATAACATTTTTGCATCAACACTCTGTCTCGCATATTATCTATGTTCGTTTAAAGAAAAACATGGATTTCTCCTTATTAAACAACATCTTAGGCAATATTGTGTGTCAATGAAAACACAACAACTAGCACACAATAACATATGAGAGCTAAAAGAAGCTAAGGAGGCCAAAAAGATATCCAATGCATACATAGGCACATTTCAATACTCAAAATACTAAAGAGACGAAAAATAAAAATCAAATAAAATAAATAAATACATTGAGCTGAAACAGAAAGTTCAAGAAAAACAGAAGAAATGAACGCATATACACAGTCGAAATAATTTATTGTATAATGCATGTATTTATATATGTGACAAGAACGGATCAGTTGAAAAACCGCTCGCATGTATGTGTATGCCTATGTATATGTCATTATAAGCACAAACCAAAAAGAGACAAATATTTTTTATTTTCATATTCGTCCAAGAAACGCGAATTTCAAGCAAAACGAACGAAATAAAGAGAATAAAAAAAATACGGTATAATATAATATGTATAACTCATAAATACACCGAAATCAAATAAAACAACGTTTCGAATGAGCGTGAATAAAATATCGGCGTATTGTGTATAAATGAAAGAGTGAGCGAGCAAGAGAGAATGGTCGCTGTGCGCGCATACACGAGGCCAAGAGTGAAACAAGTTCATGCGAATGAAAAAACATACGCGACATCGTATACAACACACAATTCGCGCACAAAATATTATATGCGTCATTGCTTCTTTTACTTGAAATCATTGAGTGTTTATCAAACGTTTACAGAAATGGATTGTTTTCGAAACGCGCTTTCAACTTGAATTTCTCTATACACATACACAATTCAAGTGTGCACATTTATTCTTTATACGTTTTATTTCATTTTTACTGAAATTTCTTTATTTCTTTCGTCCATGGCTATTGTTATAGTTTATACTGTATTTGTATTGTATTCCATCCACTAGCATGCCACATTGAAGAAACAAAATTGAAGAAGAGGGCTGACGAAACAAAAAAATGAAATAGCAAACAAAAACGGCAAAACGTGTGTGCAAATATCGTTTGAGCTTCTATGACTTATGCTCTTGCAATGCCTAATCGTTTTTCTGCTGAAAAAAAAAATGAAAGAGAAATACATGTGAGCCGTAGGAAATCCTTAACGATCGACATCGAACAAACTAAAAAACAAAAAAACACAGTATAAGCTGATAATCAAGTCAGTGTGTTGTATTGCTGTTAGTTTTTTTGTCATGTTTTTTTTTGTTGTTGTTGTTCATTATGATTCGTTCGTGTCATTTACTTTTAAAGCAAACATTTCTATGAATTATCCTTTTTTGAAATGCAAAAACTCAAGCATTTAACAAACCACCCTGATGCATGCGTGAGCATGCGTCCCGGGAACAAGTTCAAACTGAAAATAATCACACATAATGCGTTGCGTTTCAAGGCAAAATAAATATATACACACACACACTCAGTTATGGCTCTTTTTTTCATTTCCATTTAACTGTATTTGCCGAGCGCCCCAAAATGAAACTTAATTCTGTATTCATATGAAATTTCGTTTTAGTGAATTTTATATCGATCCATGTTCGGGAAATGAAAGACGGAATTTTTTTTATAGTTTATTGCGATGCATTTTAATTTGAATGGGCGCTCAGAGGAAGCAGAGCAAGTTGAAGCGTACGACTGAGCAGAGTTTGTTGAGTGACAAATGAAGGGGGAGAGAATATTCTATTTGCATTGAAGATGTAGTAAAAATGATAGTTTGAATGGATAAAAGCATTCAATTTGTATCTCAATATCTCTCTTGCTGTGCACGCTTCCAATTTATTCGCTTCTCTTCTCTCTGCCGCTTATCGCTTCGTTGGACGCATATAATTCATTTGCGTTTTCATGCCATGAACTGCATAAAAACGTCAATACATCATAATTATCTAGTTTGATGGCGTGGGGTTGATTTGATTTTGCAACATACAAACAGTCGGACAAACAACCCATACGGCGAATAATTTCAAACTCGCATTCATCGTTGTGCTGTGTTGCATGATTGAAGAGGGGGAGCTAAATGTTTCATGTTTACATTTATTCTTTAGTGATTCCCATTTCTCTAGCTATATTTTAGCGCGCGCTCATTCAATTTTGCCTATATAATGTGCACTCTATATTCATATCGGATTTCATATTGTGGGGTTTGTGTTGTCTATCTTGTTCTCGCTTGTTCGCTCACTCACTATCTTGTTTGGCATATAATAATGAAAAGTTTTGCGAACCTATTTATTTTGCGTAGTGTGATGACGCTGCTACTATAGCAGCAATTGTCACACAATGGCAACATAGCGTAAAAGCGCGCAGCAAAGAAAAACAACCTCGGTCATATTTCAGCTTTTGCACTGGGCCGAACAAACACAGAACACACTCATTCAAATCGATTATTACTTTATTAGAGAGAAGAGAGGAGAAAAAACAAAACTAGTACATCGCGAACCGTCGACTGTTGCAAACATAATTTGATAGAAGTTCTCTCTGTCGCTCATCTGGTTTCCATTTACATACTTTACGATTCGTTCGTTTTTTTTAAATATTAATTGTGTGTTGTGTGTGTTTTATTAAATTCATTTTTTGTGCTCTCTTTGATTTTAATGTGCCTGCATTTTCTACGGCCTTTTGTTTAAAGTGTCAGTTACGGTTGCAATTTGTGAGTTGATTTTTGTTTTCATTTTATACTCTTTTACATTGGTGTGCCTTCAATTTTGTGCCATTCAAACGTAAACAATAATGGCAAATATATAATTTTCTAAGTGAACAACATTGTAGTGTATCATTTGCTAAATCGACTTAATTACTTTGCAATTATTTCCTACTGTTTGTGAGTGTCGGTTGTGTTTCTCTGGCTCCCGTGCTCTCTATCGCTCTATCTCTCGCTTGTTTATATGTGTACGACAATTGCAGTCGTACCAAATTAAGTCGAAAGCCCTCGAATTATACACAGCAAAATGTTATTGTATTGTATCGTCGCGATACCATACAAATCTGATATTATTAGTGTACTAATCACTAGGACAATTGTCTTAACAAATGGACGTAATCAAATCAAATTGAAACCATTTCAATATAATGGACTCGAACCAATATAAATTCCTGTGTTCCTCAATGTACAGGGTTAACCACATGCAATTCACAGTTAACGGCTCGTCTAATTAGCCATTTTGATTTTTTTCATTTGATTTTCTATTTTCAAAGGAAAAAAAAATAATACAAATTTCGCAAAATACAAATATACGTACAATTTCTCTTTGTGCGGTTCGATGATTCAATTCTACGAAATAAATATGAAATATATCAATAGACGCGCGATAATTTATTTGTTTTCTCCGATTACATTCCGGAAATTCCCCGAACATATTATTCATCGAGAATGCTTCTTTATTCTACACTAGTTTTGATGGCAATTTACGTTTGAAATGTCGATAATTCATAAAAATCTGTTGAATGAAATTACATTACATAAAATAAAAACAAATTCTTACCAATCGGTTTGTAGAATAAATATTTTGTTAATCAAGTTCAGTTTGTTGCATATACTCGAACAGAAGATTCGCATTTTTCTTTTCATTTCATTTAAAATTTAAACTCAAACCATAAGTGGTTGATGATGATCACATCAAAAAATCATCTTCAATAACGTATTTCATGGGAACGTTATCAGCTGGTGTATTTCAATTTTAAATTGCAATTTTTTTGTGTGTGCATTCTTTGTCAAAACTGCGTAATAGTCAGTGTCAATTTTTTGCATTTATCTCAAATTTTGTCCCAGTTTTATTTTAATTTATTCAAAATAAATTATTATGTACTATTATTTTAAATTATTAAAACTAATTCAATTTTGGTTACCAATCATTTTTTTGCAGGTTTCCAAGCGGAACGTACAATAAAATTAGGACGCAAATATGGAAACAGATGATGTTGAATCTTCGCACAGTACGATGTCAAGTTTGAACAGCTTGTTTTCGTTCACAAGTCCGGCTGTTAAAAAATTGCTCGGATGGAAGCAAGGTGACGAAGAAGAGAAATGGGCAGAGAAAGCCGTCGACAGTTTGGTTAAAAAGTTAAAAAAACGAAAAGGTGCAATCGAAGATTTGGAACGGGCTCTATCATCACCAGGAATGCCGTCAAAATGTGTAACGATCCCACGATCATTGGACGGACGATTACAGGTAAGAAATTTATTATTTTTCCTTTTGCTATTTAAACAAAAACTAAAGAAAACAATATATTTGTTTATTTTAAGGTCTCACATCGTAAAGGATTGCCACATGTTATTTATTGCCGTGTATGGCGTTGGCCCGATTTGCAATCTCATCATGAATTAAAGCCAATCGATGATTGTCATTTTTCATTCAGTTCAAAACAAAAGGAAGTTTGCATAAATCCGTATCATTATAAACGTGTCGAGAGTCCAGTACTGCCACCAGTATTAGTGCCGCGACACTCTGAATTTGCACCGGGTCATTCGTTGCTACCATTTCAACAAGTCACCGAACCGAATATGCCACACAATGTTAACTATTCCCAAATGTCAAATCAAAATTTCATGAATCAAAGTAGCCCAACCAGTCCGACAATGTCATCGGTATCATCAGTGAATTCGAATCCAAACAGTCCATATGGTCTTTCGTTACCGGAAACGCCACCACCAGCCTATGGCATAACGGACGATGCAAATTCAAATAATACCGATCAACCAATGACAGACGCAACAAATCCAAATGGTCTAGTGCAAATAAGCTATCAAGAGCCACCATTTTGGGCTTCGATTGCCTACTATGAGCTCAATTGTCGTGTTGGCGAGGCGTTCCGTTGCAATTCATTATCGGTGATTATTGACGGCTTTACGAATCCATCAAATAACTCTGATCGCTTTTGTCTGGGCCAATTGAGCAATGTTAATCGTAACAGTACAATTGAAAACACACGCCGTCACATTGGTAAAGGTGCGCACGTCTATTTTGTGCGCGGTGAAGTATTTGTGGAATGTTTATCGGATTCGGCGATTTTTGTACAGAGTCGCATGTGCAATCATCATCATAATTTCCATTCGAGCACCGTTTGTAAAATTCCGCCCGGTTGCTCATTGAAAATATTCAACAATTCAGAATTTGCAACGTTACTATCACAGGCCGTTAATCATGGCTATGAATCGGTGTTCGAGCTCACCAAAATGTGTACAATTCGAATGAGTTTCGTTAAGGGCTGGGGTGCCGAATATCATCGACAAGATGTTACCAGCACACCGTGCTGGGTGGAAATCCATCTACACGGACCATTGCAATGGCTTGACAAAGTTCTCACACAAATGGATTCACCGATTAATGCCATCAGTTCGGTGTCCTAAAACACAGTCGCTTACCAAATCCCTCCCCAAAACTAAGCGTGTCTGTGTGTTTAAATGATATTTCAATCGAGAAAATTTAGCAGTTAATTATTTTATAGGCATAAGAGTGTTTAGAAACATAAAAACAATAGAAAAACAACAACAGAATTATTCATTAGACTTTATTGCTTCTTCTATGACCGGTTTTTCAATCGTTTCTTTTAACTGAACTTTGCTTCATCATCCGTTTTAATATTGTAACTAAAGTCAAAATTTTCAGGAATAATTCGATTTTTTTATGTGAAAATTCCTTTTGCATTCAATGCCCATATTGACGACGCTATAACATCAATTTTCATCTAAGCTCTGGTTCGATCAATGCAAAAATCTATTATGACCTCTTATTGATTGTATTTATTCTGAAGACATTTGAAAAATTCATTAAATGCAAAAATATTCGCGTCCTTGTAGAAATTTAACGCATTGAGCTTATATGCAAAAATTGACAAATGTTTGAAATGTCAGTAGTAGTAGGCTGAATGCTATGAATTCTGTGTGGTAATGCAAATGCCATAAAATTGTATAAAATGAATTATTAAGTGTACGTACTATTTTGTGTACTAAAAACTATACAAAAAAATATATATAATTTTTAATACATTTGGCTCTCGTATATGTTAGTATTCGCATATGTTTTGCATGCACAAAACAAAAAGTTTATTCAATTATACATAGAATTTTTTTTTCTTTTTTATTTGATCGTTTAGCAAATGTTTTTTTTTTTCAATTTATTTTTCAGGTAGCTAAAAAATTGAAATATTTCTGTAAATGTTTTGAAAAATGTAGCCAGAGCCCGTTTATTTTGATTAATTTCGACGAGTTGAACATTTTGTAAAACTTTATTTTTGTGAATTGGTTTCTAAAATCTTTACCAGACTTTGGTTAAATTTGTAGATTTTTCTATGCTCGAAAACTAATTGAAAATGAATATTTATCGGCTATACTTATTTTAAGAAATTTTGAGATTAAAAACAAACGAGAAAGAAAAATTATTGAATATTTTTTTTTACAAAAAGTCAACTAAGTAACAGATATGAATACCTGGTATATTTTAGTCAAAGATCCACCACACACCCCATTTATATAAAACGATCTCGGCAAAAAAAACTCATTTAAATAATCTTAATAATGAACTAGGTAAAGAGAGAAAACCTATATCAAGTCGATGAGCACGCCATATTACTTCAGCTATAAAAATTGTTTAATTAATTTTTTTCTTTCAAATCAATCTCTATGATAATAGTTTAAAGAAGAAAAAAACATTAAAAGAAATTGTGCCGATTACACATAAATATATATATGTATACAATAAAAAGGTGTCCGTTGACAATGTAGCTTTGTTTTCCGAAATTTGGAAATGAACTTGGATATTTTACGACGATAAGGAACCACTTATAATATTAAAAAAAAAAGTATATTTAAAGAAGAAGACACAAGATATAGATTGGTATAATAAAACAAATGGGGCCTCATTAAAAAGTGTACTTCACTTCGATATTATAATTGCCTTGCGATGCTTTGATGTTTTTTACTAGTGTTTAGTGGCCTTTCTACAGAAATTTAGTATTTTTTTGAGAATGAAAAAAACACAACCAAAAAAGTGGTCTTATTTTGTTGCCCAGAAAATGGAATGCCTACAAAGTCATTCAAATTTAGTAATGGAAATCGCCTTAAAAACATTAGCCACAAAGTCAATCAAATTGTTAAAAATATTACTAGAAAAAATTGCTGTTATCCAGGGCATGCGGTCAGATAACATTATCAATAAATAAAATTATCAGATAAATTGTAATGTCCAAATGAATCAGTATTTTGGATGTCCAGAATTTAAAGACAATGGTCTTTGGGACATCTCGATTTATATAATAGATTTATTTATTTACGATAACGTTAGCTGACGGTATTCCCTGGTTATTTCTTTTCCAGATAAATAATTTCATGAAAAACAAACCATTTTGCTGAAGATGATTCAGAATTTTTACACAATTTTTCCGATAAACTAAAAAAAATCCAATAAATTTTTCATTTTGTTCGACAGCACTTCGATGACATTACATAAAATAAAAAATAAGAGTACGCATTGAAAATAGAATTCAAAAAAAAGTTGTAGAAAATTTGCTTCCGCTTGACGTGTTCTAGATTCTTAGTGTCAGATTCAGTGTGGCTTATAATAACCAATTTCTTTCGATTTTGAAAGGAATAAAAAAAAAAACAAGTGCTCTGAGAAAACTCAGATGTTAAAATTCAAAGTAATAAGAGAAAAAT